GGGGGGCATCAGTGGAGGGGGGACACCTGGAGGTTCTGGACCCGTGTTCTCCAGCGGGACCCTGAGCGGTCTCATGCAGCAGGTCCACAGACTGGCTGAGGAGGCCGGGGTCTGCACGGACCAGAACTGCAGGTCCGCCGTGTCCCCCTCCCTCAGCACCACCGCCCCGTCCCCGTCCGTCCCCCCGCAGACCGCCCCCGTCCCTGCAGCGGACCTCAAAGAYGTCCCGGTCTCTCCGGATCCGACCCCCCGGGCCCGGCACCAGTCCAGATCCCAGCCCCAGAGCCGCGCCGCCACCCCCAAGCTGGGCGTGGCCTCGGGGGGCGCCGGGCGGTCCGCCTCCCCGCTGGTGGTCCTGGACCGGGACAAGACATCCAGGAAGTCCAGGAAAGGGGGGTCCCTGAAGGTCCGGCTCAGCAAGCTGTTCAGAACCAAGAGCTCCAGCGGGGGGTCCGGGGGTCTCCTGGACAAGAGACCGTCCCTGGCCTCGTCCACCTCGTCAGGGGGCAGCCTGCTGGACGTGTGGGGGTCCACCTGCAGCAACACGGACCAGGACAGCACCAGGTAGGTCTCTGTGGGGGGGCGGGTCTGAGGGTTCTGGTCCAGCTGCCGTTAGCAGGATGCTGTCACCATGACAACCATGAGCCGGCTGGTTCTGATCCAAAACCAGTTCCTCCATCATTCTTAGCTTTAACATACCGGGTCAGAACCTCAGAACATCTGGACCTCAGCAGGTTCTGATTATAAATCTCAGCCCAAAGTTTGGATTTCAGAGGTTCTGTAACGGCCCGGTTCTGATACAGCTGCCAACATGTCAACAGGGTGAAAAGACATGAAGAAGGACCAGAACTGGATCAGGATTCAGGATCAGGTTCTTCTGTTTTACAGAACTTTAAATAAACTGAATGAAGCTGTCGACACGGTGCTGGAGGACTGATGGTCTGGGCTCCTTGTAGACCTGGACCTCCAGCATGGTCCAAGACCTCCAGTGTGGACCAGGACCTCCAGTGTGGACCAGGATCTCCAGTGTGAACCAGGATCTCCAGTGTGGACCAGGACCTCTAGCATGGACCAGGACCTCCAGTGTGGACCAGGACCTCCAGTGTGGACCAGGACCTCTAGCATGGACCAGGACCTCCAGTGTGGACCAGGACCTCCAGTGTGGACCAGGACCTCCAGTGTGGACCAGGACCCCTCATGTGGACCAGGACCTCTAGCATGGACCAGGACTCCTCATGTGAACCAGGACCCCTCATGTGGACCAGGACCTCCAACGTGGTCCAAGACCTCATGTGGACCAGGACCTCTAGCGTGAACTGGACCTCCAGTGTGGACTAGGACCCCTCATGTGGACCATGACCTCCAGCATGGACCAGGACTCCTCATGTGAACCAGGACCCCTCATGTGGACCAGGGTTCAGGTTTCAGACTCGGATGGCGTCTCTCTGTCAGCAGGAAGGTTCTGGATCTAATGTGAGGACATCTGTCCAACAGAACCCTGGTCCAGGTTCTGGACTCTGACTGGACCAGCTGTGGTGGGACCTTCTTGGACCGAGGAGAACTTCTCATCCTGCAGACGTTGTCATGGTGACCAGCATCCTCACCGCTCGGCAGACGAGCCGTTGCCATGGTGACAGCATCTTCCTCTCGCTCCGCAGATGAGACGGAGCTCGTCTCCATGGCAACAGTTCGGTTTTTTTTTTTTTTTCAGGAAGGGGAGGGGCCAGTGTCAGGAGTCTGTAACCATGACGACAACTGAAACAGTTTGTTTGTTTGTTTGTTTGTTTGTTTGTTTGTTTGTTGTCGTCAGGCTGCAGGTGTCACGACCTCACAGTGCCTTCTCTCCGGTACCGTTCAGCCCGCCGTTCACCGGTGAGTGCCTGTGTGTGTGTGTGTGTGTGTGTGTGTGTGTGTGTG